TGAGATAAATTCAATTTGAAACCATTTAACAAACACATTATTTAATTTAATTGTACAGGGTAGCCATATCAGTGCAATGAAGACTCATCCTCATTGAAGGAGTTTCGAGTCAATCACAGCTCTTTTCTCAGTAGTTTCTCCCAGCTGAGGCCGACGGTCCGCCTCCACGACACACTGACGTCAGGAGACTCGTTCAGGCCTAATGGCCGTGGGCGGAGCACTCGTACATTCTTGCGGTTCGAGTTTTGCGTGTGATTTAAATGTTAGGATGTCTTTTTTCATGGTTGCCCGGCAACGTGAGAAACACAGGCTCAATGACAGAGTCAACAGAAGACTTGCTGAGCAAATGGAAAAATAATTTGACGTGAGAAGAGAGCTGTGTGTTTGTTCTGGTCAGATTCAGCTGGAAATGCCTTTGAAACTAAAAACAATAATAAATACAATTTAAATGAATGAATTAATAAATAGCAGTTATTAAAACACATCCAAACTAATTGTAAAATTATACAATATTTTTACAGTTGCAACAGACATGTTAAAACAAGCCTCAGCAAATTAGATGAATTGTTTGATTTATAATTTTTCAATCTAAAAACAAAACACGATGTCATCATCTTTTCCACTTGAATGGCTACCTACGTCATCTTGATATGGTAACATTCCTGCCAAAGAACATCCGCATAAACACGAAGCGCACAAAACGTGAGGCAAACCGAGGCGACAGGCAACGAGTGTGAGCCAAACAGCGTTTACTGGAGCGCTGGAGCTCTGGGAGCCGCACGCGGGCTAACACCGTCAGCTAAGCGGGAACGAGTGTGGAATTTCACCTGTGCTTTTGTCTCGCAGAACGAGTGGCGAGATCTGGTTCCTCACGAAACCTCGGGTCATTGTGATTCTGCCTCGAGGTGCCAGAAGTGATAAATTATTTCGGCACCTGCATCTGTGGGGTCAGCTTTCCCATAGGTGCCACACAAAACACGGCAAAACAAAAGCTCTGACGGTAGAATGACACAACAGCAAACTGAACATAAGAAGGGGCTGAAATAGCTTTTGATTTGGGGTGTCAATTTTCACCTTACATTCACCTTACATATCTCAGTTTTGAGAAGATTGGAGAAACTTAATTTTTCACCCAAAAAAAAAACAAAAAAAAACAAAAGGGGTAACACTGTCGTTTTTTTTCGGGTCGAATTTTTGAGTTTCGATATCTCAGCTCTGGAAGGGTCTAGAGCCTCCATTTTTGCACTCAGGTCAAAGTATCGTGGCCCTCTATCATAATCCAGAGTTTTGAGAACATTGGAGAAACTTAAATTTTCGCCCAAAAACGAAAAAAAAACGAAAGGGGTAACACTGTCGTTTTTTTTTTTCGGGTGAAATTTTGAAGTTTGATATCTCAGCTCTGGAAGGGTCTAGATCCTCCATTTTTGCACTCAGGTCAAAGTCTCACAGCCCTCTATCAGAATCCAGAGTTTTGAGAAGATTGGAGAAACTTAATTTTTCGCCCGAAAACGAAAAAACGAAAAGGGTAACACTGTCGGTTTTTTTTTCGGGTCGAAATTTTGAATGTTGATATCTCAGCTCTGGAAGGGTCTAGAGCCTCCATTTTTGCACTCAGGTCACAGTCTTGTGGCCCTCTATCATAATCCAGAGTTTTGAGAAGATTGGAGAAACTTAATTTTTCGCCTGAAAACGAAAAAAAAAACGAAAGGGGTAACACTGTCGTTTTTTTTTCGGGTCGAAATTTTGAATTTTCATATCTCAGCTCTGGAAGGGTCTAGAGCCTCCATTTTTGCACTCAGGTCAAAGTCTCACGGCCCTCTATCATAATCCAGAGTTTTGAGAAGATTGGAGAAACGCAATTTTTCGCCCGAAAATGAAAAAAAATGAAAGGGGTAACACTGTCGGTTTTTTTTTCTGGTCGAAAATTTGAATTTTGATATCTCAGCTCTGGAAGGGTCTAGATCCTCCATTTTTGCACTCAGGTCAAAGTATCACAGCCCTCTATCATAATCCAGAGTTTTGAGAAGATTTGAGAAACTTAATTTTTCGTCCGAAAACGGAAAAAAAAGTAACACTGTCGTTTTTTTTTTTCTGGTCGAAAATTTGAATTTTGATATCTCAGCTCTGGAAGGGTCTAGATCCTCCATTTTCGCACTCAGGTCAAAGTGTCGTGGCCCTCTATCAGAATCCAGAGTTTTGAGAAGATTGGAGAAACTTAATTTTTTCGCCCAAAAACGAAAAAAAACGAAAGGGGTAACACTGTCGTTTTTTTTTCTGGTCGAAATTTAGAATTTTGATATCTCAGCTCTGGAAGGGTCTAGAGCCTCCATTTTTGCACTCAGGTCAAAGTTTCACAGTCCTCTATCATAATCCAGAGTTTTGAGAAGATTGGAGAAACTTAATTTTTCGCCCGAAAACGAAAATAAACGAAAGGGGTAACAGTGTCGGTTTTTTTTCGGGTCGAAATTTTGAATTTCGATATCTCAGCTCTGGAAGGGTCTAGAGCCTCCATTTTTGCACTCAGGTCAAAGTCTCGTGAACCTCTATCATAATCCAGAGTTTTGAGAAGATTGGAGAAACTTAATTTTTCGCCTGAAAATGAAAAACAAAAAAAACAAAAACGAAAGGGGTAACACTGTCGTTTTTTTTTTTTTCGGATCGAAATTTTGAAGTTTGATATCTCAGCTCTGGAAGGGTCTAGATCCTCAATTTTTGCACTCAGGTCAAAGTCTCACAGCCCTCTATCATAATCCAGAGTTTTGAGAAGATTTGAGAAACTTAATTTTTCGCCCGAAAACGAAAAAAAACGAAAGGGGTAACACTGTCGTTTTTTTTTCGGGTCGAAATTTTGAATTTCGATATCTCAGCTCTGGAAAGGTCCAGAGCCTCCATTTTTGCACTCAGGTCAAAGTATCACAGCCCTCTATCAGAATCCAGAGTTTTGAGAAGATTGGAGAAACTTAATTTTTTCGCCCAAAAACGAAAAAAAAAAAAACGAAAGGGGTAACAATGTCGTTTTTTTTTTTTTCTGGTCGAAATTTTGAATTTCGATATCTCAGCTCTGGAAGGGTCTAGAGCCTCCAATTTTGCACTCAGGTCAAAGTCTCGTGGCCCTCTGTCATAATCCAGAGTTTTGAGAAGATTGGAGAAACTTAATTTTTTGCCCAAAAACGAAAAAAAAACGAAAGGGGTAACACTGTCGTTTTTTTTCTGGTCGAAATTTTGAATTTTGATATCTCAGCTCTGGAAGGGTCTAGAGCCTCCATTTTTGCACTCAGGTCAAAGTCTCACAGTCCTCTATCATAATCCAGAGTTTTGAGAAGATTGGAGAAACTTAATTTTTTCGCCCGAAAACGAAAAAAAAACCGAAAGGGGTAACATTGTCGTTTTTTTTCGGGTCGAAATTTTGAATTTCGATATCTCGGCTCTGGAAGGGTCTAGAGTATGGAATTAATATTGAGCCAATAAAAATGAACGTAACTTTTCAAGAAACGAATGAAAATATAAATTGAAACTGAATAAAATATCTTTGAAACTGAAAAAGAATGAACCGCAAGCAATTTTTTTGACTTTGTTTTTAATACACTACATGTTTTGCTAACTATTCCTCATATTTCGTTTACTGATCTACACTTACAAATGCGCTTCCAGAGTTTTCATTTACGCTTCTGAAGTTTTCGTTTACACTCCCTGAGTTTGCGTTCGCTGTTCTGACACAAATCTCTCGTGGGGGCGGGGCTAGTAGCAGTCTATTCTCATTGGCTACTGAGTTTTTGATTGACAGCTTCTTGACCTGGAAGTGAAGACGTCAGAGTTGTGTTTACACGTGTGGATGTGAGCGTCTGTAAGCGCAGCTTTCTATTTAATTTTAGTGATATTAAGTTATGGTTGTTTTTTTAATTTTATCTGTATTTACCTTCTGCTGCGATTACTTTGTCAACAGAAGCTTTTAGGTTCACAAGAGATCAGTTTATTCAGGTGTAATTGTACATCAAAGTAGGCCCACTGTATATGACTACTTAAAATATTTTGTCCAATGTTTTAGGAGGAATATTTGTTTATTCTTGATGATTCGTTTGCATGTTAGGCTCTGAATAGGTTGTGCTATTACAAGAGAATAGCCTACTAGTATACGTGTGTGATATATTCAGCAGTCAAGAACGTTTCACTTCAACCAGGTAATCAAGGTTGGCAACCATGGCCATCAAATTTCTCATTGTTACCATATGCATTTACACCATCAAATGATCATGTATGATCACTTAAATAAGAGGAATTTAAACTATATGAAAATTACAATCGTGGGTTGCTGTCAGATGATACAGACCTCAAAGGGCATTTCATTACATATTTCACACAAAGAATATTTTTGTTGGTATTTTTTTAATCATGCTGATCATTTTATTTATTTCATTTTGTTAATATTATTTTCTAACATTTAAAATGGTAAATATATTTGAACAATCATCAACAGGTTCAATTATGACTTATAAAATCAGTTAAATGAATTTAAATAAAAAATCTAATAAATGTATTCATTCTTTATTGTCACTACAGCATATACACAAGTACCAAAGTGAAAGTCTTGGATGCAGTTATGACAGGAAAGACCAGACTCCACAAAACATTAACTGCATACTATACATGTAATGCACAGTATTCTCATAATATAGATAATAAAATGTATAATCACAAAGATTTTTAATGAAATAATACATCTCTGTGAGTCCACATAACACAAGTGGATTGTACCCATGTATGGCAGTTGGTCGGAAATTATTTTTAATAGTTAAAACAGTTTACATTATTAGTATTTTTTTTTTTTTTTTATTCTATTGTTTCACTTCAGTATTGATTCATCCACTGAGGTCACATGGACATCACGGTCACTGTGTGTGGTTTTTAAAGCATCTTTAGGGCTTGCAGAGATGGATTACTTTCCTTAAAATCTTCATTCGTATTTATCTGTAGAAAGAAAGTAAAATGCATCTGGGACAGCATGAGGGTGAGTAAAATAAGTGAGAATTTTATTTTTGGATGAACTATTCCATTCATATGCTGTTGGTATGCTAATCCATGATCAGCAGAGACTAATAAGAATAAACTGCAACCTCTTGTGTACTGTGTTTGTTTTAATCTAGAGCTCCAAAGAAATTAAAATATTTGCTATTTTATAATATTAAAATAAAATACAACAGGTGTCTGAAGATAAGGATCCCAGTCATTCAAAGGTGATATGTCTGAACAAAGTAACATTATAGTCTGATGGAGACGCTGATCTCTGGTATTATCACTCCATCCTCTGTGTCAGCATCAGAATTTTGTTTGTGGAAAAGTTGCTCAAATCCCTGGAAAATGAGAAAGGAAATATATTATAATCTAACAATACAAACTGCTTTGAACTCCCACATGCAGTAACCATTTGCAGACTTAAAATAATTATTTCAAACAAATTATATAAATGTTTTAAGGGATTTTACAGTACCAAATGTTTACCTGACTCACACACCATTTATCATCTGTAATACTATTGTATAACCAGTAGATGGCTCTATAGCCCAATAAACATTTATCCATGGCGGTGTAGCGTCTACTCCCTAGTTGCTGGATTTTTTCAGTCATAATTACTTGCATGTATTAGGTTTTGAATTTGGATATATATATATATATATATATAAATTATTAAAGACTATTAAAAATTCAACATTTTTCTCAAAAATGTTGTTTTTTTTTTAACATAATTATTACTAAAATATGGATACAGAAAAAGCATTTTGTTGCCTTTTGCAGAATAAATATTGCGCCCAGGGTTATACTTGGGAACAAATGAGTGTTAACATATTATGAATGGAGACGTGGAAAATGGTCAAGTACTCTCTCTCTTCTTTTAAAAACTCTGCATCACAAATTAATCAGCAATTGGCTTTACATTGCCAAAGTTGAACTAGGCAGTGATTGACAGGGCTCTGGTCCAATGGCATCGGTCATTGTCTGATACAGTACATTTTGTACTGTAGGCTACACTACAGATACTGTACAGTACTCTAGCACAATGTTGTTTGGGGTGGCAGAGGGGAAATATGATCTAATTGAAGCAAATATGATCTAATCGAAGACTGTAACCGTATGTAACGTTAGATAAACAAGACATGTAATGATTGGGCTAACAACTTACCAATTAAATCAAGACAACACTGCTGTATAATGTTATGGGCTCTCACTGAGCTCTAATATGCCTCTCCACCTGAAAAAGCAAGAACTGTATTATAATTAGTATTAGTTTAGTATTAATTAATAAAAATAATAAAAACAATCAGACTTACCACGAGTAGCCTATGCTATCCAGTATTCTGATATCGACGATGACAAATTATATCATTTGTCTGTACTATTCCTTCTATAAGAAATCATATCAACAATATAGTGTAGCAGTAAATAAATAAAGAAATAAACTTAATATCACCTAAATGAAATAGAAAGCTACGCTTACAGACGCTCACATCCAAACGTGTAATCACAACACTCACTGACGTCTTCACTTCCAGGTCAAGAAGCTGTCAATCAAAAACTCAGTAGCCAATGAGAATAGACTGCTACTAGCCCCGCCCCCACGAGAGATTTGTGTCAGAACAGCGAACGCAAACTCAGGGAGTGTAAACGAAAACTTCAGAAGCGTAAATGAAAACTCTGGAAGCGCATTTGTAAGTGTAGATCAGTAAACGAAATATGAGGAATAGTTAGCAAAACATGTAGTGTATTAAAAACAAAGTCAAAAAAATTGCTTGCGGTTCATTCTTTTTCAGTTTCAAAGATATTTTATTCAGTTTCAATTTATATTTTCATTCGTTTCTTGAAAAGTTACGTTCATTTTTATTGGCTCAAAATTAATTCGATACTAGAGCCTCCATTTTTGCACTCAGGTCACAGTCTCGTGGCCCTCTATCATAATCCAGAGTTTTGAGAAGATTGGAGAAACTTAATTTTTCGCCCAAAAACAAAAAAAAATGAAAGGGGTAACACTGTAATTTTTTTTTCGGGTCGAAATTTTGAATTTTGATATCTCAGCTCTGGAAGGGTCTAGATCCTCCATTTTTGCACTCAGGTCAAAGTCTCACAGCCCTCTATCAGAATCCAGAGTTTTGAGAAGATTGGAGAAAGTTAATTTTTCGCCCGAAAACAAAAAAAAAAAACGAAAGGGGTAACACTGTCGGTTTTTTTTGGGTCGAAATTTTGAATTTCGATATCTCAGCTCTGGAAGGGTCTAGAGCCTCCATTTTTGCACTCAGGTCAAAGTCTCGTGGCCCTCTATCAGAATCCAGAGTTTTGAGAAGATTGGAGAAACTTAATTTTTCGCCCAAAAATGAAAAAAACGAAAGGGGTAACACTGTCGTTTTTTTTTCGGGTCGAAATTTTGAATTTTGATATCTCAGCTCTGGAAGGGTCTAGAGCCTCCATTTTTGCACTCAGGTCAAAGTCTCACAGCCCTCTATCAGAATCCAGAGTTTTGAGAAGATTGGAGAAACTTAATTTTTCGCCCAAAAATGAAAAAAAACGAAAGGGGTAACACTGTCGTTTTTTTTTTGGGTCGAAATTTTGAATTTCGATATCTCAGCTCTGGAAGGGTCTAGAGCCTCCATTTTTGCACTCAGGTCAAAGTCTCACAGCCCTCTATCAGAATCCAGAGTTTTGAGAAGATTGGAGAAACTTAAATTTTTCGCCCAAAAAACGAAAAAAACGAAAGGGGTAACACTGTCGTTTTTTTTTCGGGTCGAAATTTTGAATTTGATATCTCAGCTCTGGAAGGTCTAGAGCCTCCATTTTTGCACTCAGGTCAAAGTCTCACAGCCCTCTATCAGAATCCAGAGTTTTGAGAAGATTGGAGAAACTTAATTTTTTCGCCCAAAAATGAAAAAAAACGAAAGGGGTAACACTGTCGTTTTTTTTTCGGGTCGAAATTTGAATTTCGATATCTCAGCTCTGGAAGGGTCTAGAGCCTCCATTTTTGCACTCAGGTCAAAGTCTCGTGGCCCTCTATCATAATCCAGAGTTTTGAGAAGATTGGAGAAACTTAATTTTTCGCCCAAAAACGAAAAAAAAAAAAAAACGAAAGGGTAACACTGTCGTTTTTTTTTTCTGGTCGAAATTTTGAATTTTGATATCTCAGCTCTGGAAGGGTCTAGAGCCTCCATTTTTGCACTCAGGTCAAAGTCTCACAGCCCTCTATCATAATCCAGAGTTTTGAGAAGATTGGAGAAACTTAATTTTTCGCCCAAAAATGAAAAAAAAACGAAAGGGGTAACACTGTCGTTTTTTTTTCGGGTCGAAATTTTGAATTTCGATATCTCAGCTCTGGAAGGGTCTAGATCCTCCATTTTTGCACTCAGGTCAAAGTCTCACAGCCCTCTATCAGAATCCAGAGTTTTGAGAAGATTGGAGAAACTTAATTTTTCGCCCAAAAATGAAAAAAAAAACGAAAGGGGTAACACTGTCGTTTTTTTTTCGGGTCGAAATTTTGAATTTTGATATCTCAGCTCTGGAAGGGTCTAGATCATCCATTTTTGCACTCAGGTCAAAGTCTCACAGCCCTCTATCAGAATCCAGAGTTTTGAGAAGATTGGAGAAACTTAATTTTTCGCCCAAAAATGAAAAAAAAAAAAAACGAAAGGGGTAACACTGTCGTTTTTTTTTTCGGGTCGAAATTTTGAGTTTCGATATCTCAGCTCTGGAAGGGTCTAGAGCCTCCATTTTTGCACTCAGGTCAAAGTCTCACAGCCCTCTATCAGAATCCAGAGTTTTGAGAAGATTGGAGAAACTTAATTTTTTCGCCTAAAAACGAAAAAAACGAAAGGGGTAACACTGTCGTTTTTTTTTCGGGTCGAAATTTTGAATTTCGATATCTCAGCTCTGGAAGGGTCTAGATCATCCATTTTTGCACTCAGGTCAAAGTCTCACAGCCCTCTATCAGAATCCAGAGTTTTGAGAAGATTGGAGAAACTTAATTTTTCGCCCAAAAAATGAAAAAAAAAACGAAAGGGGTAACACTGTCGTTTTTTTTTTCGGGTCGAAATTTTGAGTTTCGATATCTCAGCTCTGGAAGGGTCTAGAGCCTCCATTTTTGCACTCAGGTCAAAGTCTCACAGCCCTCTATCAGAATCAAGAGTTTTGAGAAGATTGGAGAAACTTAATTTTTCGCCCAAAAATGAAAAAAAACAAAAGGGGTAACACTGTCGTTTTTTTTTCGGGTCGAAATTTTGAAGTTTGATATCTCAGCTCTGGAAGGGTCTAGATCATCCATTTTTGCACTCAGGTCAAAGTCTCACAGCCCTCTATCATAATCCAGAGTTTTGAGAAGATTGGAGAAACTTAATTTTTCGCCCAAAAATGAAAAAAACAAAAGGAGTAAGGCCGTTCACATGTCGCGTTTTTTTCGGCTCAAATTTCGTTATTTCATATCTTAGCGCTCAGGTAATGCGAGCCTCATAATGGAAGCGGTCAGGTCAAAGTGCGACCGCTCCTTTTTTCCAATCGCGTTTTGAGAAGATTCGAGAAACTCTCAATTTTTCAGAATACCGCAAGCGCACCGTACGGTAACAATAGTCATTTTTGACAAGAACCAACTGAAGCGCAACCGCCCTGGCGCTTTGCAAAATATAGAATGCGGCGCGCCCAGCGTTTTCTACGCGTTTTTAGGCGCTATATGTGAATCCGGCCTAACACTGTCGTTTTTTTTTCGGGTCGAAATTTTGAAGTTTGATATCTCAGCTCTGGAAGGGTCTAGAGCCTCCATTTTTGCACTCAGGTCAAAGTCTCACAGCCCTCTATCATAATCCAGAGTTTTGAGAAGATTGGAGAAACTTAATTTTTCGCCCAAAAATGAAAAAAAACGAAAGGGGTAACACTGTCGTTTTTTTTTTCGGGTCGAAATTTTGAAGTTTGATATCTCAGCTCTGGAAAGGTCTAGATCATCCATTTTTGCACTCAGGTCAAAGTCTCACAGCCCTCTATCATAATCCAGAGTTTTGAGAAGATTGGAGAAACTTAATTTTTCGCCAAAAATGAAAAAAAAAACGAAAGGGGTAACACTGTCGTTTTTTTTTCGGGTCGAAATTTTGAATTTGATATCTCAGCTCTGGAAGGGTCTAGATCATCCATTTTTGCACTCAGGTCAAAGTCTCACAGCCCTCTATCATAATCCAGAGTTTTGAGAAGATTGGAGAAACTTAATTTTTCGCCCAAAAATGAAAAAAAAAAACGAAAGGGGTAACACTGTCGTTTTTTTTTTCGGGTCGAAATTTTGAAGTTTGATATCTCAGCTCTGGAAGGGTCTAGATCATCCATTTTTGCACTCAGGTCAAAGTCTCACAGCCCTCTATCAGAATCCAGAGTTTTGAGAAGATTGGAGAAACTTAATTTTTCCCAAAAATGAAAAAAAAACGAAAGGGGTAACACTGTCGTTTTTTTTTCGGGTCGAAATTTTGAGTTTCGATATCTCAGCTCTGGAAGGGTCTAGAGCCTCCATTTTTGCACTCAGGTCAAAGTCTCACAGCCCTCTATCATAATCCAGAGTTTTGAGAAGATTGGAGAAACTTAATTTTTCGCCCAAAAATGAAAAAAAAAAACGAAAGGGGTAACACTGTCGTTTTTTTTTCGGGTCGAAATTTTGAAGTTTGATATCTCAGCTCTGGAAGGGTCTAGATCATCCATTTTTGCACTCAGGTCAAAGTCTCACAGCCCTCTATCAGAATCCAGAGTTTTGAGAAGATTGGAGAAACTTAATTTTTCGCCCAAAATGAAAAAAAACGAAAGGGGTAACACTGTCGTTTTTTTTTTCGGGTCGAAATTTTGAGTTTTGATATCTCAGCTCTGGAAGGGTCTAGAGCCTCCATTTTTGCACTCAGGTCAAAGTCTCACAGCCCTCTATCATAATCCAGAGTTTTGAGAAGATTGGAGAAACTTAATTTTTCGCCCAAAAATGAAAAAAAAACGAAAGGGGTAACACTGTCGTTTTTTTTTCGGGTCGAAATTTTGAAGTTTGATATCTCAGCTCTGGAAGGGTCTAGAGCCTCCATTTTTGCACTCAGGTCAAAGTCTCACAGCCCTCTATCAAATCCAGAGTTTTGAGAAGATTGGAGAAACTTAATTTTTCGCCCAAAATGAAAAAAACGAAAGGGGTAACACTGTCGTTTTTTTTTCGGGTCGAAATTTTGAAGTTTGAATATCTCAGCTCTGGAAGGGTCTAGATCTCCATTTTTGCACTCAGGTCAAAGTCTCACAGCCCCTCTATCATAATCCAGAGTTTTGAGAAGATTGGAGAAACTTAATTTTTCGCCCAAAATGAAAAAAAAAAAGGGGTAACACTGTCGTTTTTTTTTTCGGGTCGAAATTTTGAAGTTTGATATCTCAGCTCTGGAAGGGTCTAGAGCCTCCATTTTTGCACTCAGGTCAAAGTCTCACAGCCCTCTATCAGAATCCAGAGTTTTGAGAAGATTGGAGAAACTTAATTTTTCGCCCAAAAATGAAAAAAAACGAAAGGGGTAACACTGTCGTTTTTTTTTCGGGTCGAAATTTTGAGTTTCGATATCTCAGCTCTGGAAGGGTCTAGAGCCTCCATTTTTGCACTCAGGTCAAAGTCTCACAGCCCTCTATCAGAATCCAGAGTTTTGAGAAGATTGGAGAAACTTAATTTTTCGCCCAAAAATGAAAAAAAACGAAAGGGGTAACACTGTCGTTTTTTTTTCGGGTCGAAATTT